GCAGACAGAGGAACAAGGTAGGGGTGAGTCGGTGGACAGCACTAGGAAAACACCCAGACAGCTGATCTCCTTTCACACCCATGGGCACCCTGTCGTCTCTGGATCCTGGGGTTTTATATCAAGCCATGAGAGAAGGTGGGACAGGCCATGGAGTGCTGGGAGCAGAAGAGGGAAGTGAGGGGAGTCCATCATCAGGATGGTCAGTCTACCTATGGTCCCAGGCAGCAAACTTGCCCAGTCAGACAAGCCCACAAACCCAGAACCAAACCACGGTGTAGTGTGTAGCCGCTAATGCACTGGCTCTGGGCACACTCCGTCCCTCTACCAGAAAGTTCACTCCTAAGGGCTTTCCTCTGGAAGAGGATCCAGTTTTCTTCTGTTGCCAATAAAAATCCCCGGCGCTGTTCTTTCTCCTTCGCTTCCTTCTATTGCTTCTGACAGAGTTTGCCAGTTAGCTGAGGTCAGGATTTCCTTTTTACAAACAACCTGCTTTCAGTCAGTGGGGCCAAAAGGTTTCCTAAATTACAAACTCTTTCATTTCTTCTGCCACAAGTTCGCCTGTCAGTTTGGATAATTGCACAGAGCGGAGAGAAATGGAAACCTTTCTGAGAGACACTGAAAGAAGGAAGTGCTGTTGTTAGTTCTCTCCTTTCCGATTGTCAAAAATCCATCCTGAGCAGGATGGACAGGGTGACATGAGTCAGCTGAAGGTTTTGTACCTGTGGGGATTGTTGGGGGCGGGGGCAGGTCCCAGGATCTGGGAGGGAATTTCTTATAGGTCTTAAAAGAACACACAGTGTTCATGGGCCCATCTCCACATTCTGTTAAGCAAATGCATGTGTGCTAAGTTGCTTCAGTTGTGTCTGACTCTCTGCGACCCCGTGGACCGTAGCCTGCCAGGCTCGTCTGTCCATGGGATTCTCCAGGCAAGAATACTGGAGTGGGTTGCCATTCCCTTCTCCAGGGGATCTTCAGGACCCAAGGATGGAACCCTGGTCCTTCCTTATTGCAGGCAGATTCTCTATCATCTGAGCCACCAGGGAAGCTCCTTCAGCAAATGGCCTCTTTTATATTCAATTGAGTTGGGGAACATCCAAGCCCTATTCCAGTTTTGAAAAGCAAATTTGAAAAGTTATTACAAAATGTATGTGCATGGGACATGTGTAAATGCTGACTGGGAGTCAAATTTGAAATCAATCTCTGGAAGGATAGCATAGAATTGAGGTGCTATGAGCATTCAGACCTCACTGAACAATTGTATTAACTGGACAGGATGTGAGATACCTACCCCTTGAAAATGGAAAGGGCTGCCTAAGCCCTGGTGTGGAGTGATGGAGCCAGAGGAAAAGTCAGCTTGTACTGACCTGAGAGCCCGAGATCTTTTTAAGATTCTGTGTTGTATCCAAGAGTCGCTCAGGGCCGTGACTGCCTGATTTGGCTGTGATCTCTCAGGAACGAGCGTTTAACCTGAGTTTTGTAATCTGTAAAATAAAAGGGGCTCTGCTGGACACTACTTAGGGCTCTCATCTAAGTCTAGTTTAATGTTGAATCAGGGGCCCCAGTAAAGGGTCCTCTAGGCTGTGTGTGCTAATGCAGGAGGCTGAGAACCTCTGATCTTGTCTTCTTGCTTTTCTGTCTTCCATAGAGGGGGAACAGCCAAGCTTGGGGGTAATAAAAGCACCAAGTCTGAAGTTTTCCTTGGAGGTGAAGGACAGCTCACAGCCTCACCTTTCCCTCTCCTGGCCACTCAGAGCCACACTGCCCGTGCTCCTGTAGTCCTGTGGCCTCTCTCCTGTGCCCTCCTCCTCCCCACTCTGCTCAGGCCGGCTTCAGTCTGCAGGCTCAGCTTCGGGGCAGGGTTTCCTGCCTGCCCGGCTTGCCCCACCTCTCATGTCCACAGGACCGTTCACAGAAGTCTCCTTTGTCATTATGATTCTCTTTTTTCTAAAATTTATTCATTTATTAAGGACTGTGCTGGGTCTTCATTTCCGCTCAGGGGCTCTTCGTTGTTTTGAGGGGACTTTCTCTAGTTGCAGTGCATGGGCTTTTCTGCTGTGGCTTCTCCTGTTGTGGAGCAGGGCTCTAGGGTAGGCACAAGGGCTCAGAAGTTGTGGCATCAGGGATTAGGGTCCCGCAGGATGTGGGATCTTAGTTTCCCTGGACCAGGGATTGAACCCGTGTCCCTGCATTGGCAGATGGATTCTTAACCACTGGACCGCCAGAGAAGTCCTTTTTTTTTTTAATTAATTGTTATTGGAGTATAATTGCTTTACAATGTTGTTAGTCTCTACTGTACAGCCAAGTGAATCAGCCATACACATACATATATCCTCTTCCTTTCGGATTTCCTTTCCATTTAGGAAACTCGTTAATTCCTGACCTCAAACATTGGGGTGGTGGCTATTAAAAAAGAATTGCTACATAATGGTTGTCTTTTTCATCCTGTTTCCTAGACTTAGGCCTACCTGGTGGCTCAGACTCCAGAGACTCTGCCTGTAGTGTAGGAGACCCAGGTTTGATCCCTGGGTTGGGAAGATTCCCTGGTGAAGGAAATATCAACCCACTCCAGTATTCTTGCCCAGACAATCCCATGGACAGAGGAGACTGGTGAGCTACAGTTTGAGCTATGACTAAGTGACTAACACTGTAACTTTCACTTTCCTTGACTATTCCAGAAAAATGCAATCCCCTTGTAAATGGTCTGTGCCATCAAAGAGCTGATTCTTTAGTTGGAGAGAAAAAAAAAATGTCTATGAATACTTAGCAAGCATGTGAATGAATAGCATTCAATAATTTGCCAAGTGGTGTCCCAAGCACTTTATTCACATGAACTTACTTGGTCCTCATGGTAATGGTCTAAAGTGAGTATTAAGTCATTCAGTTGTCACTCAGTGTAAGATAGTCACTCTTTGTGACCCCATGGACTATAGCTTGCCAGGCTCCTTTGTCCATGGAACTCTCAAGGCAAGAATACTGGAGTGGGTTGCCATTTCCTTTCCCAATGGTCTGAAGTAGGTATTATTGTTATCCCCATTTTACAGATGAGGAAACTAAGGCACAGTGAAGTTAACTTGGCAAGATAAAATGGGGAAGTCAGGATTTGAACCCAGGCAACTTGCCTGGCAGAGGCCAGGTTCTTAACCGCTAGGTGTACTACCTCTCAGTGGGTGGGGAGACGCCTTACTCTTGGGGTGTCCACTCTCCTCTTGTGTCCCACTGCTCACCTCTTTCAACCCATCAGCCAGTGCTGTTGTTGCTATTGCTAAAAATAAATCCAAGTGTTCTTTTTCCCATCCTAATCTGAATCTGGCTGCTGCTTGCCTGGACCTTGCTGTTTGGCCTAATGACTCATTTCCCCAGTTCTTCTCTTGCCCTTCTATAGTCCACTCTCCACCCAGCAGCCAGAGTGGTCATTTCAAAGAATGTATCAGTTTGGGTCATAGCCCTGTGTAGACCTCTCGGTGGCTATCCTTTGCAAAATCATCTCTTCTTGGACCCATGAGTGTGATTCTCACTCCTAGAACACGATAAATAGAAGTCTTCTCCAAGGACCTTTGTGCCTCTCTTTTCTACCCCTCATCTTCACATGCTGCCTGCCTCTTAGCAGCTGGTCTCAGTTCAGCTGTCTCGGCTCTGTCCATCCTTTCCAGGGAAGCCCTGCCACTTACATATATTTCCTGTTTTAATTTTATACAAAGAACATTTCCAACTGAATATATCTCATTCATTCACTCATTCACTCGTTCGTCTGTTCATGCCTACTCTGATGTAAACTCCATCCACAGGAGTAAGGATCTCCTATCCTTAACATCTCAGACAAACACTCCCCCCCCAACCATGGTGGGTGCACAGTGAGCCTTTATTGAAGGGGGTATTATGAGCAGTCAGTAAGACTATGGACATTGGAGGTGGGGAGAAGTTCAGGAGAAGGAGCTAACACTGTGTGCCATGATGGGAAAGAAGGTTCTGCATAGAAGGCTCTGGAGCTGAACATGGCTTGGGTGGATTGAGGGTGGAGGAAGTCACTGATGGCAGTGGGCAAGCTCTGAGTAGAGGTGAGGCAAGGATTCTTAGGGGCTGTTTGGTCCATTAAAGAACTCCGTTAACATGGACCGAAGGTTTGTTCGTAAGAATAATGAGAGACAATGTTGGAAAGAAAGTAGAGACTGTATCTGAAAAGTTTAGAATGGCAGGGAGAGAAATGTGGCCTCCCATCTATGGACCAAAGTGTATCATGTTAGAAGTAGCACTTTAGAAAATCCATCATTTGAGGGTATGCGCTCCATTTGACTCTCTTCCATTCCATACTTTCTTCACCTGAGACCTAAAAGTCCCTCCACTCCCCACCCCTGACTTTCTCTACAGACATTCTCCAAATGTCTCACTCTCGGGCGACCAAGCATGCACAGACACTCCATTATTCAAGCCACTTGGCCAAACGTGTGCATGTGAAAAATGAACATCCTCGGCCTGAAGAATGAGTCAGACCACTGCATGTTTGATGTTCATGTGTTCTGTATGTGTGAACGTTGTGTTTCTAAGATGAAATCCCAGGAGGAAGCAAGTTGTGCTGTTATATAGCTCTTTGTCAGTGATGAAACTGGCCAAATCTTAGAGATGTATGTTGTGGGCGTTCTTTACAGATGAAATGGAATGGAAACTAGTTTCCACTGCTGTCCCTTGGGTATTGAAGTGGCTAAATCTATGCTCTGACATCCAAGATACTTGATGCTGAATTCGGTTCCATAGCAGATAAATCTGAGTGAAGGTCTCGTTTATATAGTTTCAGAGGAAGTAAAAGGCTTTTCCATTCATCTGTCCTTAATGGTGATCAAAGAGACAGCTGTTATTCTCCTAGCTTAGTTCCTTGCAAGGGCTGATAAAGCCATTACTACAGCTGCTCCATACAGCTTCCTTTTGTTGGACTATGAGTGTTCCACCACCACCAAGATCCTGCTATTGTACAGAACCAAACAATGAAGAAAATACTGACAGGGAGCTTACAGTACTTCACAAATCAGTTTTATTAATTTAAACACAAACTGAAGAAAAAGTCTGTACACAGTTGTGGACACGACACACCTTTATACAGTAAGGCCAAGATAAACTTTTGTCTTTTCAGTTTGCAGAGTACAAAAACATAAAATGGAAAGGCTAAAAAACTGTTGACTTCTGTTTGCTTCAAGCAAGAGAGGAAAAAAACAACTGAATTCAATGATTAAACAGTTTGGAGATATTCACAACTGACTAATTCTAGCAGCAACATGAAACCTTAGGAAAGGATAGGGCAGCTCTGTAGCTACTTTGGGTCAAAGCTGGTGGCTTTTTTCCCCTCCAATATACTATTAAAGAAAATTCATCCAAAAAGTAATTTCATGACAATGGAAGGCCTTTAGATGAGAGAAACTAGTGTCTAGATAAACTGATGGATTACTTTTGGATAAACTGTTTTGGGGGTATTACAAAGGTGACAAACTTCATTTCTCAGATTTATGCTTGTCATATAATTAGAATGGGGTGAAATGAGTAGCATTATTTTCTTGGTGATGATGACTGGACCATGTCCCACTGCTGGCAATGAACTTTTCTGGGAGGCGGGAGTGGGAGGTGGAAGGAAAGAAAAAGAACATGAACGTAAGGAAGTAATACAAAGTTGTGCTGATTTGCAGATATGTGGTGATGGCCTTCCTTAAACAAGAAAATATCATCTGGACACATGATAGTGTCCCTTTGCTAATGTCCAATTCATGAACCATTTCATTTTATAAAATCTATCCATCATCTACATTCTTTCTGTGGGAAGAAGCATTTGAATAACTGTCCTTTGCCAAATAGCTATACTACATTAATGCTAAAAATGAAAAAGTGAGGTTTTAAGAGGACTTGTCTTCCCCCTCAATTGTTTAAGACACTGATGTGTTATTTACCAAGGCCCTCCTAACAGCATTTTTTTAAAAAAGTACAGATTGGGGGAAAAAAAAATTAGAAAACAAAATCCTATTGACACTTGACATCCATGCTTTTGGTCTTGACAACATGATCTTAAAAAAAAAAAATCCATTATCTACATATTTATACCCAGTACTTGGAGAAGGCCCTGCATGTCTGTGCAGGTCCACCTCATACTTCACTATCAAGGCATTGCTACCTTTCAATATCATTTTCCTAAACAATATGTAAAAGAATCATCCATTATTACAAATTTACACCAAAAATTCTTTCTGTACATGATTGTCTCAGTGATGTACATATTATACGTTTAAATTAGACATATTTTAAACTACTTTGCAATGTGCTAAAATTCAAAGTACTTGCTGAGTCATGAGGCCAGGGCCTTTGACTGCTTCTGTCATCATGCTACTGTCTCTTCAGTTATCTGATGTCAAAAGTCTGTTTGCGTGAACTGTATGGTTCTTGAATTATACCTCGATAAAGCTGTATTTTTTTTTTTAAAGTCTGTTCATAAATAAGTAGAGATGTACAGAAGACCCTGGGTATGAGACACCAGAAAAAGTAAACCTTTACAAGAAAAATCCCCCCACTGGTACTCAGGAAACCCATTTCAGTCTTTGTTGTGCAATCAAGTTTGCTGTACTGGAGAAGCTGTTTTATGTCACATTGAAGATGCTAGAAACATAAAGCGTCTGCAGGTCCTTTCTTCACAGGTTCGAACCATGGTTAGTTAATGTGGCCAAGACACACTGCACTGTGCTAGAACATTCTCATGGCTTATTTGCAATGGATTCACAGTACTAGGAGTCAACAGCTGTTCTGAAGAAAGGGGTGTGGTGTCCTTCATTTCCCACAGAGGTGGAGGCGAGGACCCACAGCAGCTGGGTGTCAAAATGCTGAAATGTTAGTTTGGAGTCTGGCGCCCACTGGGGACTCAGCTTGGTGGACGTGTCCCCGGTCACAGGCGGCTGTGCGGCTTCAAAGTGCTAGGTGACTGCTACAGGTACTCCAGTTCCAGGGCGTGATGTAGGGCCATGAGGTCCGAGTGACTGGAGACCCTCCAGAAGGGCATGGCGTGCTGTGGAGGGGCAGACCATGTGGTGAGGATGGAGAGCACGCCCAGCACCAGCCCCCAGGGCTGCGTTGTCAGTCCCCTCCACGCACGGCCCAACCCCCTTTATTCCAAACTCTGAAAACTGCCCGTTAAGATCTCAACATCACATCTGTTTAAAACAGAAATCCAAACTGACTCCTCCCCTAAGAATACCAGCGTGCGTTTTAAAATGCAATTCGGGAGTCCGTTTTTTTTTAAGAGGGTGATGGGTATTTCTTAAGCAGACCTACATTGCCACTTGAATGCCGATTCCAAACTTCAAATAAAACCCAGTAGCTGTGAACAAAAACGTGTCAAATATTTGCCTTTCAAAGTCTGGATCCACTGGAGCTTTTATGCTGCAAGTTTAATCGATTTTCCTTAGTTGGTAGTACTTTACATTTTGTAAAATTTGACTTTAGAACTAAAATCAAATTTTGATTTTAGAAGCAACTTTTCATTTATTTCCATCAGGCATTGTCCACACTGATCTTGAAACAACATTACCATATGGCAAAATTTTAAATGAACATCTAAGGTAGTTTTTTCAGCTTTTTTTTGTAGTTGTTTAAAACATCAATCTAAAAATCTGCCTTATTTTGTTGGGGTTTTTTTTTTAAACCTTTTGATTTACCCGGGGCCAGGAAAACCGGCCCTTTTTTCCCCCCCAAATTTCATCATCCGTGAAGGATAAAAACATGATTATCAACTTTATGGCTCAAAAACATTATAATAAGTATGTATCAGCAAAATCTTCTTAGATAAGAGAAAGATAATCATCACCTTTCAGAGAATAAAATTCTATTAAGCCCTCAGAAAACATTTTTTTTTAACACAAAAAATAATGTGAAGGTCTGAGTATAATTTGTGATTATAGTTCTAGGGAGTTTTTAAACAATTCCGACTATTAGGAGAATATGGCATGAAAACAAATAGAATTTGGAACTGAGGAGTTTTGGGGGGACTATCTAAGTGACAGTAGAAGCTACTATTTTGGCATAGATCACATACCCGTTATTATTCTGGGGATGCAAAATATTGTTACTTATTGACAATGTCTTTGTCTCAAGTGATCTGCTAAAAACATGTACCACAGTCCAATATCACATGTAGGCCTTTCTGGATTATATACTATTTTAGGGTATCTCTATTTTTGTTATCCTTCAATAACAGTTCAGTACCAAGTACTAGAGATCTCTTTTCAAATATTTATGATGTTCCACTGGGCAACTTTAGATCATAAAAATATACTATTTTGCACTCATTCATTAGAGATTTTTGTGTTTGCATGCATGGCATAGAAGACACCCCTGACTGACCCTCTCATGGTCTGTGGTTGAGTAGTAGACGTGAACAGCAATCATGCAAGTTCACCTCAGAGGAGGAGGCGGCGGCGATTCCCTTTGCCTGGGGAACTGAGGGAGACCCTTGGTAAGAGGAGAGGTAAAAACTGAGCTGGTTATGAAAGGAGGGTCGTTCAGAACAGCACTGTAATGACTGTGTGTGTGTGAAGGGGCAGAGGATAAAGACAAGGTCATTGTTAGCTGACATTATTGGCTATAGGAGTCAAATGGCGCAAGACCTGGTTAGTCCTGTTAAAGAGTTTATTAATAATAAGTTATTATGAACATTTAATATTATAAAAAGACTGAGTCTAGGGAAGAGAACAGGGGATTCAAACATGTGTTAACAAATAATTATATTGCAAAATAAATTTTCTCTAAGTAGGCACATACCAATGTGAAGCTTTTATGGATCAACAAGGGCTTGCCAGACTCAGTAAGTACAAAGTAAATAATTTTTTTCCTGAATCAGTGTTTAGCTTGGAACAAATATTTCTTATATCAAATCAGAGAGTGATGGTGGCAAAAGAGGAAAAGAAAAGCAGGTTCTAGAATGAGGAGACCTGGGTTATACCCTCAACTCTGACTTTAGTAACATGACTTTGAATCATGACATCTCCTTGGAGCCCTAGTTTGTTTATTTGTAAAGTAATGGGTTAGGGGAAATGACTCAGGGTTGCTCCTAGGTTTAATAAAGTCAATAACTTTTTCATTAAAGTATTACTTGTTCAGCACTATAGCTAGAGCAGATTTATAAAATAATATACATACATAACATACCCTCCCACTGCCAAGAACCAGCAGGCAAGACATATCTGCTGAAACTTTTTTATTACAATGTAAGGCAGTGTGGGATTAAGACTCAAAATGACCTAGCCAGCACATCAGGTAAGAAAAATAAAAGCATCAGAATTGGAAAGGAAGAAGTAAAACTATTTGCAGATGACATGATTTTATGTATAGAAAATCCTAAAGACACCAACAAAAAACTGTTAGATCTAATCAATGAATTCAACAAAGTTGCAGGATACAAAATTAGCCTACAAAAATCAGCATTTCTATACACTAAGACCAAATTGTCCAATAATAAAGTGATTCCATTTACAATAACATCAAAAACAGTAAAAGTGAAGGATTTCTACACTGAAAACTATAAGACACAGATGGAAGAAGACACAAATAATAAATGGAAAGGTATGTCAAGCTCATGATTAGAAGAACAAATATTGTTAAGATGTTCATACTATGTGTGCATCCTTAGTTGCTCAGTCATCTCTTTGTGACTCCATGACTGTAGCCCACCAGGTTCCTCTGTCCATGGGATTCTCCAGGCAAGAATACTGGAGCGGGCTACCATGCCCTCCTCCAGGGGATATTCCCAACCCAGGGATAGAACCCAGGTCTCCCGCATTGCAGGCAGACTCTGTACTCTTCTGAGCCACCATCTACAGATTCAGTGTGATCTCTGTCAAAGTTCCAATAGCGATTTTTACAGAAGTAGAAAAAACAATCCTAAAATGTACATGGAGCTAAAAGACTTCAAATTGCTAAACCAGTCCTGAGAAAGCACAAAGTGGGAGGCATCACACTTCTGATTTCAGGCTGTATTAGAAAGCTGTGGTAATCGAAACAGTATACAATAGAATAAAAACAGATACATAGGAAATGGAACAGAATCAACAGCCCAGAAACAAAGCCATGTATATATGCTAAACTAATATAAGGGAGCCAAGAACACTCAATGGAGAAAAGATGGTCTCTTCAATAAATGTTGCTGGGAACACTGGCTAGTCACATATTCTTTTATAAAAGAATGAAAGAATTAACCTATAAAAGAAGGAAACAACCTAAAAGGGACTAAAGACTTAAATGTAAGACCAAGAACCATAAAACTCCTGTAAGAAAACACTGGGGAAAAACTCCTTGACATCAGCCTTGGTAATGATTTTTTGGATATGACACCTAAAGCACAAGCAAGCAAAATAAACATGTAGACTATATCAAACTAAAAAGTTTCTGCACATCAAAAGAAACGACTGACAAAATGAAAAGATAACCTACAGAATGAGGAAAAAAAAATTTGTAAACTATATTCTGATAAGGGGTTAATATCATAAAACTCAATAGCAAAACAGTCTAATTTAAAAATTGGGCAGAATAGATATTTTGGTAAAGAAGATATACAGATGGCCAACAAGTATGTGAAGTAGTGCTCACCACCACTAATTAGGGAAATGCAAGTCAAAATCACAATACGATAATCACCTCACACCTGTTAGAACAGCCTTCATCAAAAAGATAAGGGGTAACACATGCTGATGAGGAGGTAGGGAAAAGGGAACCCTTATGCACTGTTGGTCAGAATGTAAATTGGTATAATCAGTATGGAAATGAGTCTGATGGTTCCTTAAAAAAATTAAAAACAGAACTACCATGTGACTAAACAATCTCACTTCTGGGTATATACATGCCCAAAGGAAATGAAAATAATACGTTGAACAGATATCTGCATCTTCACATTCACAGCAGAACTATTACAATACGCAAGATATGGAAACAACCTGTGTCCAACAGATAAATGGATAAAGACATTGTGAGATTATACCACATATATATTGCAGTTATTCAGATGGATGTAATGGGACTTAATGGACATGAATGTGAGCAAACTCTGGGAGACAGTGGAAGACAGAGGAGCCTGGTGTGCTATAATCAATGGGATGGCAAAGAGTCATACAGGACTTCTCAAATGAAGAAAAACAACAACATGGAGATACTCCATCGGGTACCTAGAGCCTTGAAACCAAAACAGCTAACAATAATAGCCTAAACTGATGTGTGTGTGATTCGTTTATCGAGATTAGGCATATATTGAGAAAAATGGGCACCAAGACCTAATTTTTGGGAAGTAGCACATGTTTTTGGGTCATTAGAACCAAAATATTCCCTAATGGGAAGATGATGACACATCCTTTCTGTTCCTTTTGCCCACATGTGCAGTTTTCCAAATTTCCTTCTGCCACCTTTCCTGTCTGGTATTTTGCGTTTATCCCTTCTGGTTATACATAAGATCAGTAATATAAAAAGCTGGGTGTGTGGACATTCACATGTAATTTGAATTTTGCTGAATTATTAAAAAGTATTTCAGAACCATAAAAGCACATAGCCTTTGCCCTAGGCATTACACTTCTAGGAATTTTTCCCACAAATATATTGATACTTGTCCATGCATGAACCACATAAGAACTGTCTGTAATAGTAAATACTGGAAACCACCAAAATATTGAGCCAAAGGGGACTTGTTAAATTATAGCACATCAATGTAATGAAATTCTGATGTGGTCATTTATAAGCATTAGAGATACAGAGCTCCATGTGCTCCTGATACGAAATAACTACCAGGATATATATTAAGTGAAAAAAAAAAAAAAGGTATAGAAAAAAGTATATAATTACAATTTGTATAAAAAAATAAAAAACTTATCTGTACTTTCCTATGCATATATGTAGAAAATTTGCATATGGAGATACAAATAGTTCACAAATTGTAAATAGATTATTCTGAGAATTTATGAAACTTTCAGCACAGCTTTGCTCTATGACTATTTGTATATCTGCATCCCCTCTGGACAAAGTGTGCAC